TCAAGGATTAAGTCCTGTGGGGATGCCCAAAGTCCCTTGAATGCAGAGGATTATGGGCATTCTATAGAGGGAGGGAGGAACACAGAGGAAAGGATTGTGTCTAAATTCTTTTCACCCTGCAATTTCGGCCATCAGGCAGCAATGCTTCCAAACAGGAAGGAAAGAGGCCACAGACTACCAGGGTACCTCACCTCCATCCTCCTTAAACTCCACTGAAAGGTAAGTCAGCTAGATGGCCCCCAAGGTCCCTCTAGATGCTTCGTACATTTTGAAATGGGGGCAGAGGCAAAACAACTTCTCCAGCTCTTATTGGCAGATAGAGGTAGGCAGGATGCTCTGAACTTTGTGTCCTCCGTCTGAACAACTGATCCTGCTGCACTCGAAATGACCAGCACCAAGACTGGCAGAATCAACTTGTTCAGGGGGTGCAGTTCAAATTCACAAGACTTTGCTACCTGGAAGCATCAAATGAACTTGGCTTAACATGGGGATAGAGGAATCTTTCCATTCTGGTTTCTCATTCTTCCAAACTCTTTAAGATCTTTTTTTAAGAGGCAATATATCACACAGTGTATTAGCTAATTGGGAATTTTAATGGTGTCGGGATCTCAGCGCTTATTTAGAAATACTTATCTCCGCGGTTAAATTAAAGTTAAATAAATTGACTAATGAGAGCTCATTGGACAACACTTAAATTGAATTTGTGGTGTAAGGATAATACACTTAAGATGAACGTTATGCCCTGATTATGGATGTTATATGTAGAATTCTTCTATTCTGGCATTTGAAAAAAATCACCATGTGATGGTGGGGGCCCCTCTCTGTCCTGAATAATTCACTCATTAATTCATAACATTTGTATGCCACCCCACAGCCCATAGGGCTGCCTGGGTGCCTTACAATAGAACAAAAAAAAAGTACATATTCCATAAAAATACAATAATGCACTAAAGCAATATAATTAAGCAATACAATACTGTAAGCTATACAAAATAGAACAAACCTTAAGATAATACATAATGCAATATCAGTTCATAATACAATATAATGCATAATTCAATTAATTTTATCAATAATAATAAGATATAGCCATAATCCGCCCACAGACAAAGTTCCACCCTGGAGGTATACCTGGTGCAGCACTGCCCCCTGCTCCTGGCCGGCTTCTTTTGAAGTGTCTCTCCTCTTCCCCTCCTCCTCAAGAGCTTCTCCCATAAAAGGCAATGTCAATCAAGGTCAAGCTGGAGATCATGGGGAGAGTGCAGGAGTGCATGATCAGATAAAGGATGTAACTCACCAATAAAAATTAGTTCAGCTTTCCAGATGTTGCTTTATATCACCTTTGTCTTTCCAGCTTGAATTAGATTTTACACCTTGGTCAGTTCTGAAATATTCTTGTCTGGAACTTTCTTCCAAACTGACAACATAAGGCTCTTGGGATATTAAAATGAATTGGTTCCTTGGTTTCTCACAGTCTTGCAGTCTTAAAATCAGTTTGTGTCAACTTTTGAGAATTTATGCAATCTTAACTGCAAACTTTTTATAGACCCCCCTCCTTTCCCATCTTTAGCCTAAATTGAAGTGAAGAGATACATACCTCTCTGCTTTGGACTGATAAGAATAGCTCAGGGGGAGAACCCATGCTTTACGTTTCCAAGAGCATCAGCCCTTGCCTCAGGTAGGACTGGGGAAGACCCTCATCTACACAGAAGTACATGGCTGGATTTGAGTGCAGAAAATAGTGAACCAGATGAAACAACAATCAGATTTAGTGGGTACAAGCCAGCTTCCTATTTTTGTAAAGAACTGTACTTACAACTTGTATATGGTGAAATCAGTATTGGGAACTGTCAGGAAATCTCAGCAGGACTGGGGGAAAAGTACATTTGGATTCACAGAGAAGATTCTACACTCAATCTGAGCAGTTTATTGACAAGACTTCCAGGTACCCCTCTCTAACAAAGAAAAAACAACAGAGCTGCAGGTATATTGAACTGGCTATGAGCTGCTGGAGGATATGCAGAGTTTTTATCAGTTGTCGGTCATGTACTCAGTTTTGGGGCAATGATGAGTGATGATTGAATACATTTACAGAGGGGAATATGAGTTCAAACAGAACAATGTAAGGCTGAAATCAGAAAGAATGTTACGAAATGTTACAGTGATACAGAATTATTGAGTAGGCCAATAGTTGAGTGATATTAATCAGAACCGGTCCCAAGTACAGTCTTTGACATTAGGACAAAGAGAACCCATTCAGCACTGCTCCTTGCAGCTAGAGACTGGGCAGGAAACTTCGTTTTGTTTTAACTGCACAATTGAAGAGGAAAGTATCAAGTGGCTTAAGAACAGAGGTTCAAGGCATGCAGGAGCATTCCTGAGTGGGTTAAGTGTTCTTGCCTATCAATACTTTGCATCTCGTAGCTTCTGGCATGTGTATGAGTCATTCTGGAGAAGAATGGAAAACTAATGGAGCCTCCGGCGGGGCGCTACCTGCTTTCTCAGGTGTGTGGAGCTGGGTGAAAACTGCCAGTCCCTTCTGGTAGAGAGGAGCAAGAGAACTGCTGCTTGATTTATAATAAGTTTTATTCAATTTATAAATATTCTAATTTATAATAAGTTTTATTCAAAATTTTTAGTCCTAAAAACAAAACAAAAACCTAAAAACAACATCAATCATCAAAAACATTGAGCCTGCTGGGTCAGCCCCCACATTTTTTTCCCATCTATGATAACATAGAAACATAATCTATACGAAGTCCTGTTTCTCTAGCCAATAATAAAAAGAGTCCCAAGTTTGACAGAAATCAGTATCTTCTTTCTCCTTCAATGACAAAGTCAGTCTATTCTGCCTGATTTAATATTAAAAGGACACGCAAAAGCATATCTTTTATTTGAGGCTTTATCTGGGGTTTCCCAACAAAATCAACGAAACCAACAGAGAACCTTTAAAGGAATAGAAGAGCTACACTTCTGTCAAATGTTAGGCTCTTTCTTTGGTTCCCTATGTTCAATATTCTATAGTTCCCTGGGTAAACGGGGGGGGGGAACTCCCCCTAAATTATAGCCACCTCTCAGAATCCTTAGACAGCTTTAATTCAGGATAATGGTCCCAAAAACAACCATTTCCTATCCCTCTGAATATAAAGCACTGTATTACCATATTGAGTATAATAGCTTTATCTATTGCACATATCAGCGATGGAACATATGAAGTCTCCATTGAAGGAAAGGACATTAGTGTAACCAATTTAGCCAGTGGTGATAGTTTGTTTCCATTAATTATATGTTGTTTTCACCCAGTTTAACACGAAAGCATCTTCTGCCATATGACATGCCAGGGCTTCAGAAGTTCACTCTGTGTGGGCTTGGGAACTGTAACCATACATGTGAAGCTAATTAAATTCTATTTTCACTCATTGCTACAGCATTTCTAATCATTCTCTTATCTTCCCATCTCCTTTGTTAAACAATGATGATGATGATGATGATGATGATGATGATGATGATGATACAAGTATTCTCCAAGGATAGCTTAATCTTTTTCTGTTTAAAATATATACGAATTAGGGATGGATGGATAGATAGGAGTAACTCCACTCTGTCCCATTTGTACATTGCTTCTCACTAAGTTTGTTCCCCCTAGGGATGAGGGAGAAATTCATTCACATTGCATTATAATGTAGACTTATAATGGGAATTTCATTTTTTAACCACTAAGCAAACTGGAATGTAATTATCCTTTTAATCTCATGTTCAAGTGGAGGAGGAGGAGGGAGAAGAAAAAGAAGAGGAAAGGAGGAGGAGGAGGATTAGTAAATGATATTAAATACTTATTATATTAAGAAAACTGCTTGCAGAAATGTATATATTTGGCAAATATTGAAAAAATAATCCATTGATTAAGAGGAATATACACAGAAATTCTTATGAATTTTATTAATGTTAATTTCATTAATAAATCCATGTATTTTTCTCTCACACATGCACACACAAACACACAGTCATATGGGAAGAAGGAAAGCTGGGGATGATGGAAATTTAGTATTAGAAAAGTTCCTAATCTTTAAGATGAAGCGGGGCGGGGGGGGGGGGGGAGAAGTGGAAACTGAAAATGATTTATTCTTCCAAACTTCCATTCCATTTGTTCTGTCCTACTATCTCTTTGGAGATGAGGTGTTAAATTGTCTTTTTAAGCACATGAAGAAAACGTTCAAACACTCATTACAATACGGTCTAGCGATATTTTTTAAATTAAAAATATGTAAACACATAATTGCCACCTGAAGTCATGGAAATGTGGCTGGAAATGCCTGTGGTCATAGCAGGAAGGGATGACAAAAATGCTGGATGCCCTCAAATTCTGTGGAGGCACATCATTTCAGCATCCTGTACCTGGAATATTCCATCTTCTTTCTCTGTGTACAGTTTTCTAACCACATAGGCTGTCCGAGGGGCTGCTTCTTTTGCCTTGACCAAGCTTAGACATAAAATACCAGTTGTGCACCCTTGATCTTTGAGCACCACCAACTACCTGCCTGGGGCCAACTACAGATGCCTTCCCTTTCATGTACTAAATAGCTTCAGAATCAAATTGCACTGGGACAACACCTCTTGTCATATCAAACTGATCATGCTTGCAGCAGGCCATTTGGCACCAAAAGAAGGATTTGTTTAAGGGATGGCACTCTAGCTATGGAATATTTCCTTAGACTTGCCCACCTGGTGCCAATACTGTGAACCCTTTGGCAACCAGCAAAACCCTTTCTTGCTCTTTACTCAGCCATTTTAATCTGCTTAAATGTATTTTACTTATTGTATGTTTTGTTATTGTAATTTTTCTTGTTCGTACACCACCTGACATTCTCAAAAGTACAAGGAGCCTCCTGCTTTGCATTTTTTCTAGTCAGCCATTCCTGGCACCCTCACAACAGCTTTCTGGAGGTAGAGGGAAGGCACCTGGAGCAGCTTCAGAATCCCTTGGAACCTGGACACTTCAGTCCCCTCTCCCCACTCCCTGAAATAGCCCCATGAACCACTTTTGTTGGTCACTTTCTCATCCTTGAAAAGCAGTCTATGTAATCATTTCCATGTAGTCCTTGGGAGAGGGGTCAATACAGGAAAGCTCTGATTCTCAGATGTGAGCATGAAGTGCTTTCTCTGACCTCCTGGGCCTGGGAATCCAAACTGTCCTATGGCCCCTCTGACAATATCAAGAGGCCACAGGATCATCTACTAGGTTATTTATTTATTTATTTTTGGTGAATTTTTTTCACAAGCTGGCATTCTGCCATCGTGCAGTGTTTCCTAATCCAAACTGATCTATGCCAACTGAAATCACTTGCAGTTTGAGTAAAATGTATACATTAATTTTTTTCTCTCCTAAATGGGTGCTAAATATGCTTATCTGCCTCCCATACAATCACTGCATTAGAGTGTGCTTTGGGAAATGCATGAACTAGTCAATTTCATTCTCAGGGTTGATAGTTGCTGTCAGCTTAATTGCACAATAGCATTTACAATTATTTTAAGATGAACACTGTCAGGGGCTCTCCACAGAACAGTTTATTGGATTTAATACTTAAAAATGGAATCTGCTCAGAGAAGTTTGCACTCCAGTAGTGCTCCATTGGTGACTGGCATTCCTTCCAAAATAAACTTGCAACTCATTCTGGTGAATATCACTCTTGGAAGGTGGTAAGCAAATGCCAACGGCAGAAGTTGGGTTAGACTTAGAAGACAACTGGGAAGGAATCAGTCATTCTTTAAAACAGAGGTATTGAACCTCAGTCTCACAACCCATGCGGTCCTAGTCTACTCCTTTACTCCCTTTCTTCTGACCACTATTTCTTTGGTGGTTTCCTGTCATTTGAAGAGGTTTCTCTCCTCCCGCCCCCACTCATCTAAGACTGGAGTAATGGTCAAAATCAGCATAAGGTGTCAGTTGCAGCTTCCCATGGCACACTCCATTTCCTCCTCTCCAAGGTACAGCTGCATCCTCAGAGAGGCAACTAGTGCAGTTATTTCCAGTGCAGGGCAAGGTCTGGGACTTGCCTTTCAAAGTCCCAGCTCCAAGGTTCAAATAACCCTATCCCTTCCCCACTCCCCAACCACATTAGGAGGTCAGGCTCCCATGCTAGGAGTGCAATTTTATACCTGCCTGGAGAGGAAAAATAGTTCTACAAATCCCATTAATTCTCCAGCTAGCCATGTTGGATTAAATGGCACCTTGGGTATGGATCCAGCCCCATAAAAATAAGCACAAGTAAAACACTATTAAGCAATCTGTGGCAACATGTTTCACTTCTATTCAAGGACAGCTGTGAAATGTCATCCCATTACTTAATAAAACCCATTTTAACAAATGGCAAAGATTAAGTTTGCATGCTAGTTCTTACATAGAAATTTACTAATGGCACAACTCAGGCAAGAAAATGAGGCTCCCAGTAAGGGCTTGAGTATTAATTCCAAACACCACAACAGACTTTCTGGCAGGGAGACAAACACCGGGCAGGTCTGGCAGGCAACCCTGCATGATTACCTTGGTTCCACCCAAGAAAAAGGCACCTGTACCAAGACGTATTTCTATTCCAGTGGAATCAACAGTGGGACTCAACTCACAGAGAGGAGTGGGAAGGCACTTGAGCACAGAGTTAGGAGGAGGACTGGCTTGGACACCGTGGATCCTGCAGCTTCTTATGGGTGCCCCAAGCCTTCTCCTCCTTGGCCACTCACTGGACGGGCTGATAGTGCTCCTCCCGCTGCTGCTGTGCCTCTCCACCACCACCTCTCCTTCCCCACCCTATGGAGCATCTTCTGTCCTTGTGCCTTCTGCAGGGTGCTGTAGGGGTGACCAGCAGCCCAGGGTTAGGCTGTTCTGGAAATACTGGGAAGGGGCACATGGGATGGTGAAGACAGGAGGTCGTGCCTGGTGCCACTGAGTGGGTAGCATGGGTGGCAGTGGCAGCTGGGGGGACATCTGAGAAGCGGGAGGTGCTGGCACTGGTAAGAGCTGATGCAGGGCTTGTGGTGGGTGCTTGAGTGCAGCACCACTGCCGCAACCCCATTGGCCTGGCTCTGCCAACCCATAGCCATTGGGACACACTCATGCATGGCATCACATGATGCCACACCTGCCCAATGCTCTCCAGGAAGGCACAGAAGCGTCAGCAATGCTGCTACTCAGACTGCAACTAGCTGGTTGGCAGTTCATGTTTTAGTCTTCTGCTCATTCATAGGACAGAAAAGTTAGAGGAGTGTTCTCCCCTCCACCCCTGTGTCTATAACCAGATCTCTAGCCAGGTGCACAGTATCTGCTTTGTGCTTCTCCTGCAGATGCACGGTATTCAGAGTATTTGGGAGCAGAGGCTGCTCCTGAGTAGGCTTTTCTCAGATTGGGTTGCCCAGAAATAAAACCCCCATAGTGTTGTGCGTGCCATTCCCCCTTCTTGCTCCAAAGCTCCAAAGGCCAGACAGTTTCTTTGCAACACAGGTTGTTCACTGGGATTCCACAACAGAAAGACAAAGCAATGCCCACTAGTAAGCTGGAAGATATACTGCTGTCCATACTACAAATGGCTGTTGCATCTAAACCTCTCCTCGAAACTCTTTCCTTTCAATGACTCTGGCCCTCCACTCTTAGGATGGCTCTGCTTGTGAGAAGCCAGCCAATGAGCGAGGTGCAAGCCCTCGCACTGTGCAGGCCATCATGGGGTCAAGGCTGGGCAAGGCAATGGCTCCTCTCCTTTGACCCTTCCTGTCTCTTCCAAAATGGTTTCACTTCCTGGTTGGCCTGGGAAACTGTGGGCAGGGGCCTTGAGGTGCTTGGGAGTGAGCTTCCACTTGGTTTGCCCAAACTCTCACCTCCCAGTCCAGCTGACTCTGGGATACCTAACAAGAGTGGATTGGCTCCACTCCCTGCACATTTTTACTCCACTCCCCTTGCCATATATTTTTGTACTTTATGTCATTGGAGGAATGTCTACATTTTTATTTTTAATATTTTATGGCTACTTTTGCCCAAAAATATGAACCATTTAAAAAAATGATTGCAAGCCCCATGACCTCCACAGTGCCGGATCGGTGGGGCAGCCTCAGAGAAATCTGGAGTCATTTGAGTCTGTTGTGGATTTCTGCCACATGTTCCAGAGGCCCAGCATGGCTGTTGCCATCATCAAGTTTGGGAAAAACATGATGGAGTGGAGGAACCTTTAGCATGTGCATACCTGTACAGGGCCCAGAAGCACTGGGAAGAAGGACAATAGCAATAGTGGATTTTCACAATGAAATGGATGTATCTGTGAATTAGTTTTCTCTCAGTATCACCTTTCTCTTCATTCTAAAATTGGAGAATTTCCGCATCTTAAATTTGGATTTTCCTGAACTTTGACACTTCTCCATCTCCATCTCCTTCTCCTTCTCCTCCAGTCTCACAAAAAATGTCTATGCATATTCTGTGTATGTACATTCTTCCTAAAACTTGTATTTTTGTTTGCTGAAGTAAGTAACCATAAATAACTAGTGCCTGGCTCAGGGTCACTTAGAAAGCCTTATACGTTATTCCTTCCTTCCTTCCTCCCTTCCTTCCTTCCTCCCTCTTTACTGGAGGTGTTCCTAAAAGGATAACAATCTATGCTATCTATGGAATTTTCACATGAAGTGAATATGGTAGTGGTAGTGAGCGGTGACACCCTGTCAGAGATGCTAAAGGCAAGGTCTCTGAGTGAAATTAATATTAATTTACCATTTCCTCCAAACTTTGAGGTCTTTTGAACATTGAAAGCCTTGCCCCCCACTGCTTCCCATGCTACTGAGCATAATTAGGAGCAATGTGATTTATACACCTGAAGATAAAAGCCATAAAAAATCTCATTATCAAACCAATGTATCTTGTAATTAATTTCATTTTAGCTCAATAATTAATTAGCTCATGTAACTAATGCTGGGGTGGCAATCAGGGTCCCACTATGGGAGTGAATTTTGCAGGGAGATAATGGAGTGTAGGTCTGTAAGCGATTATTTCAAGATCTTTGTGTTGAGTTTTGTGCATGGCCTTGAAAAATGCATGAAATTCCCAAAAATATCTTCTTAGGCTGCAGCCATATACTGACTTACCTGAGAGTAACTCCTTGAACTTAATGAGACTTCCTTTAGATTAATTTACATAGGATTGTGCTGATAAGTGTGCTGTTCCTCTAAGTTGAGAAGTTAAAGGAAACACTAATGTTTGAGATGAAAAGTTGGAGGAGCCTTGGATATATTTTGTGAATGAAAAAAGCAAAAGTACAAAGTAGCAACAGCACATAGAAAGAAGACTTCAAATACTGGTAACTGGTGAAAAGTTATCTTTTCACTTTCAGTACAGCTCCTTACATAATGTGGGAGCAAAATAAAGCTGTGCATGTTCAGAATCAGTTTATGTACTTCAGAATAGCCTGGTTGGGGACCATAAGACAGAGTGAGACACTTATCTCAGGTGGCAAATGCTGAGGAGTTAAGGGCTGGCAGAGCCTTGTGTGATGTGTGACCTTCTCATTGCCTCTGAACCCAGGCAAATGGTACCCCATCTCTAGTGTTGAAGGAAGATGCAACTTCCAAGCCAGTGGGCTGATGTACGAGAAAAAATAGGAGGTGGCATCTTGCTATTTGCCTCAGGCAGGAAAAAATTCATGGGCTAGTCCAGTACTGCTTAATAAAGGCACTGTGCTGGAAAGTATGTGGGGTTATGGGTATGGACATATATTCAGGATATATGAGTGATCTTTAGATTGGTGTTTAACCTTTTCTGAATGTTGCAACTCACTTCCTGGCTCAAGAAATGTCTCAAAATACATTTTAAGTGGTATCGAAATACTTTTTCAATGGAGATTTTTAGGTTGCATAAAATAATATTTCTGTCAGTATATATTTATGAATATCTGTTCTGGCTAAACTGACATGGACTAGAAACTGACTTATTTACTAACCTATAACACAGGAACAAATTTCTCAGTTACTTGTATGGGTCATACAAGTGTAAAGTGCCACAGACCTATGGATCACCTGGCATATTTGAATGCACAAGGAGCCCAGGTTTGAACCAACCATGAAAGTCACTGGATGCTGACTGATTAGTCACCCTCTTTCACCTCACAGGACAGATAAAGATTAGAGTGTAGGGAAACCATGTATGTTCCCTTGAACCCTGTGAAAGAAAAGTGGGATATAATGTAATTGATCAGTCAATCAATGGACTGGGATCAGGAACCAAAGGATGAGACAAAAGAAGAAAAGTTGCACAGGGGAACAGAATAACCCACATTTTGACTCAAACTCTCATCTCATTTCAGAGTTGATGGTGGGCAGTCATTGGATACATGGTCTTCTCAAATGGAAACCCATCCCAGTGGAACTTCTAGATACATCTAGCACCTTGTTGAGGTTTTTAAGGAAATGAACGCAATCCTTTCTCTTCCAAAACATTAATTTCTCAGAAAAACATTTCTGTGAAAGTTCATGATTATTTTCTCCCTTCCCCTAGAAAAAGAAGTCCCTACCCCTACTCCTACTCCTAAGAAGGATCAGCATCAATCAGAATCCATCCTTCAATGCCCTTCAGTATTTGGGGACTTGGAGAATAAACTGGTCTGGGCTATTTGGGAGGATGCAGTGTTGGCCAGGCTGCCAACACAGTGGCTGTTGTTACCACTGATAATGGTAGAAAAAATGGTTGTTGTTAGTCGCAAAGTCATGTCTGACCCATCGTGACCCCATGGACAACATTCCTCCAGGCCCTCCTGTCCTCCACCATCCCCCAGAGTCCACTTAAGCTCACGCCGACTGCTTCAGTGACCCCATCCAGCCACCTCATCCTCTGCCGTCCCCTTCTCCTTTTGCCATCTATTGTTCCCAGCATTAGGCTCTTCTCCAGGGAGTCCTTCCTTCCCATTAGGTGGCCAAAGTATTTGAGTTTCATCTGCAGTATCCAGCCTTCTAAAGAGCAGTCAGGATTGATCTCCTCTAGAACTGACCAGTTTGATTGCCTCGCAGGAGTCTTCTCGAGCAGGTAGAAAAATAGGGAGGGGCAACCTGATTAAAAAGAAAGAAGTACCTGAGTGGGCCTCCCCTTTGCTGTAATGAGCAGAAACTTATTTAGTACAACTTACTTATTATCAGTAATTGAGTTTAATATTAATGCACTTGAGAAATGAAGTTTCATAATCTGCTTTCAACTTTTAATCTCTGTTTGTTTGTTTTTTTCCAGTAGCAACTGAAACAGTAATCTGTTTAGGGAAGTTTGTCTTTGATCCATCTTTGAAGTGGATCTGTGAGTTTTGACTTCATGTAAATGTTATGTCCATGCTAAATTTCATTTAGAGTCCCCAGGGAAGATAGCTATGCTACATGAGTATAGGGTGGAGTGTGAAATCCGAGAGGTTATGCTATAAGAAAAGTCTATATAATGCTCTGAATTTCATCATGGAAGTAAAGTAGAAATCACCTAGAATATATCTAAGGGATATATTCTCCAAAATAAATTAAATTATATTAAGCAAAACAATACACTTCTTATGGTGATGCAGTGTAAGACTAACCCTTCTAATCAGAAGAGTTGAATAACTTTCCCATTTAGAGAATGTGTCTGTTATTCTAGTTGTGCAGGACTCCTGGGGTCATTCTGCCTGCCAAAACTCTTTGGAAGTGTTAGTAGAATTGAAAGCCTGCTAGCTGCACTCTCAAATATAATTCTTAGAGTGCATAACATCCAGATCCTCTTCTTTCATCAGCATTATTCTATGAATAACTGTTATTTCAACTATGGCTTATATAAAGAACCATAATTCCTTTGAGCATTTCAGTTTGGACCTAGGATTCTGGAACCTCAAGTAACCTTTGCATCCTGTGCAGCATTTAAAATGATTTTTTTTAGATACCAGGTTTACAACTAAGTGTTGTGGAATTGTAAAGTGAGAGAGAGAGAGAGGGAGAGAGTGGGAGAGAAAATGGGTAATAGCTACAATCAAGAAGATGTTCATTTTCTTGCCATTTCGTAGTTTCTGCTTAGGCTGGATTTCATATATTGAATGTGGAAGGCTACTGTAAGGTTATGACCTAGGTCCATTAGCAAATCCATCTTTAGCCTCACATTCATGGCTGATTTAGGACACCAAATGTCAGAAATCAGTTTGTGAGTTGCATCAAAAGGAGTCAGTGCAACTTTTTCTGGCTGCTTGTCACTGCTCCGGGTTCCTTTAGGAAAGCTCAGAGGTAAAGCTTGATGACCCACAGACTACTGATGACCTCTGCTTTTCCAGCAAAAGCAGCTTTTTAGCTGAGGCCAGGTTCAAGTCATTTTGCTACCTAAGGGAAAAAGAGAGAGAGAGAGAAACCAGCTACCGTTTCTGATTTCAGCTTGTTATATATTTTCAGGCAATTCCATTACAGTTATGAGGGCTTCATTTCCACAGTGTCTTCTCCCTGTTCCATAAGATTCAACTGGGAGATGGGAAGATGCTTAATGCAAGAAAACTTGGAGGGGATGCAAGAAGAAAAGCTTCAGTGCATAAAGAAACCCCTGACAAAAGAGCCCCCTGGCACGTGGAGATCTTCTTGGGTAACAGATTCGATTACCTTCCATGCTTTCCTGAAATGTATTGAAAGGTTGGAGACACTAAAAGTGCATGCATAAACCTTACCTATTAAATAGTTTGCATGTGTGAGTAGATTCTTGTGGCTTAGGAAGATATGGAAGTTCTTATTGTCACATTGCTATTCACCACCGCAATGAACTGCATTCTGATGGAATCAATTCGCACAGTCATCTGCCAGTCATCCAGCATTTAGTAATTAAGTAGATGAAAGCCAAGTGATTTGCATGTAAGGATGTATGAGAATGCATTTCTGTTTGCAAAGCATGCAAATATGTTCCATTTTCCACCCTGAACACAATGAGAAGGATCCTTCCTCCCTCCCTTCCTCCCTTCCTTCTTTCCTTCCTAAAATGCTCACAAAATGCCTGATTGTGTGATTGTGTTTGAAAGATGTGTGTGTGTGCACACACGCACACATGTATTTAAATATATACCTTGAATTGCATATCTGCTATTTACATATTTTAATATTTCAGGGAAAGGGG